GCGGCCACTGCACTCCAGTGTGGGCGACAGAGTGAGACTCCAACTCACAAAAAAAAAAAAGAGAAAACATAGTTTATTTAGAAAGTAAATTAGAGAGAGAGAGAGAGAGAGAGAGCAGATTTGCCTCCCCAAGGTAGCGGAGGAGACCAAAGCTTAAGAAAACATGGCCATAGCTCAGAAAGCACATGGCCACACCATAGCTTAGCAAGGCACTGGCGACTGGTTGCTTGTTGATAGAGGAAGGTCATTCAGGCGATTGGGTGGTGGTCTGCTCCACAGCATCACGAAGGGGCAGGTAAGCACAGGTACTAACGTCAGGGGATGGACAATAGGCAGATAGGTGGGTTAGTCCCATGATGGCTGCCATGGTCCATGGTCATGGGCTAGATCGGAGGAGACAAGGGGAGGGGCTTATACTTCAAGAGACCTGTCAGACGTTTTCGATCCACAAGCTCTTGAGCAAAAAGTTCATCTTATTATCATTTCTATGACTTCAGCCAGCTAAGGGACCTGAAATTTCTTAGAGATTATTGTGCTAAACCATGAATTGAATGGTTAGGCTGTCCTTGTCTTGCATCTGATGGAGATTTGCTGAGGGGGTGGGGTAAGCTGCCGCTTGACCTGCAGTAAAATGTCTGAACATTTCCTGAAACCTGCTCTTTTTTTTGAGTCAGAGTCTCACTCTGTCGCCCAGGCTGGAGTACAGTGGCATGCTCACAGTATCAACCTGCTGGGAACAGGCAATCCTTTTTCTAAGCAGCTGGAACTACAGACACGCGCTGCCTCGCTCAGCTAAATTTTTTGATATATTATAGAGTGGAGGTCTCACCAAGTTGCCCAGGCTGGCCTCAAACCCCTGGGCTCAGGCAGTCCTCTCGCCTCAGCCTCCCAAAATGCTGGGATGACAGGCTTAAGCCACCACACCTGGCCAGACTTGCCTATTGGAAATTTGTCTGTGTCTAGCCTGAGCTAGATTTATTTATTTATTTATTTATTTATTTATTTATTTTTATTTTTGAGTTGGAGTCTCACGCTGTCGCCCAGACTGGAGTGCTGTGGCCAATCCCGGCCCCTGCAGCCTCGACCTGCTGGGCTCCAGCGATCCTTCCGCCTCAGTCTTCCGAGTTGCTGCAACTACAGGCGTGCGCTACTATGCCCGGCTAATTTTTTGATTGTAGAGATGAGGTATCACCAAGTTGCCCAGGCGGGTCTCGAACCCGCGGGCTCAAGCCATCCACTCACCTCAGCCTCCCAAGGCGCGGATGACAGGCAGAGCCACCGAGCCCGGCTCTGAGCTAGATTTAAAGCGTGTGAGGGTCCGGACAGAGCGAGGATGGAGCGGGCGAGCACTGGTAACCCCGAGATGAGAGTAAATTGCAAAGAATTACAACACACAAAGCAGTTAAGAAAGAAAAGTTTATATAAAAGTAAATTAGAGAGAGAGAAAGGAGAGAGAAGATTCACCCCCCCAAGCTGGGGGAGGGGGCCAAAGCCAGGAAGCCTGGCGACAGCCAAAGCTCAAAGAACACATGGCCACAACCAGAGTCTAGCAAGGCAATGGCCGCCGGCTGCTTGTGGTTGAGTCCTTGGAACCGTTTTCCTAGACGCGGAAGATCATTAGGGTGATTGGGTGGTGGTCTGCTCCACGTCATCACGAAGGGGCAGGCTAGCACAGGAGCTGACGTCCAGTGACGGACAGCAGGCCGATGAGTGGGTTAGTCCCTTGATTGCTGCCATGGTGGGGTTTACTTGTGTCACAGGTCAGAGAGGGCAGATTGGGTTAACCCTGGGGTGGGGGGGTTCCTGCAATAGACTAGTTAGACACTTGCAATTCACAAACTCAGACATTTGCAACTCACTCACGAATTCCTTGACCAAAGATGGTCGTATTATTACTTTTATTACTTTGGGTGATCTTTGATCTTCAGGCTTGACAAGGAACCTAAAAGTTTACTAGCGATTATGCTCAACCATGAATCGAAAGGTTGGGCTGTCCTGGTCTTGCATCTGATGGAGATTTGCCGAGCGGGGGTGAGATAGGCTGCTACTTGTTCTGGAGTGGAATGTCTGAATGCTTTCTAAGGGTTAGGATGAGGCAAAAAGACTAAACCCTTTCAGTGTCAGTCTAAGTAAAAATGGTTATGCTGAGGCAAACATCCTAAGTTACTCGGGGTCCCTCCTTTCAGTAGTCTTTGTGACAAAAATAGCTGTGTATCATTAAAGTATGCTACGTTTGTAATCCCGTGCCTTTGGGAGGCTGAGGTGAGTGGATGGCCTGAGCCCGCGGGTTCGAGACCCGCCTGGGCAGCGAGACCTCCTCTCTACAATAAATCAGAAAATGAGCTGGGCGTGGTAGCGCGCGCCTGTGATTCCGGCTACTCGGAAGGCCAGGGTGGAAGGATCACCGGAGCCCGGTAGGGCGAGGCTGCGGTGGCCGGGAGCGGCCGCTGTACTCCGGTCTGGGCGACAGAGTGAGACTCTGACTCAAAGAAAAAAGAAAAAGTCTGCTACTTGCAGAAACATGCTGTTTGGAGCGACGGAGGGGCCCGAGTTCAATGAGTGGCTCCGTGACTGACTGCATGCTTGGATGTGTGTCCCCAGCCTCCCTTGCACGAGGGCTGGACTGTGCCAGCCGCACTGCGGACACGACCAGTGAGCAGACCCTCACCGACCGGCCTGTGTCTTCACCTCCATCTTTCCACCAGGCAGGCGATGCGGCATTAAATGACAAATTCAGTTGGTGAGTTATGTTTTGTGGGGAGAGGACACAGGCTTTAAGGAAATAACCGGCTTCTCTGAGACCAGGATCATTCTGGGAGCCTTTATTCATCAGGGGCCATGGGCCAGCTCCCGGACGCCAGGGATCCGCCTCAGGCCCTGCTGTCCTCGGTCAGGAATCTGGACCGCAGGGCCTCATTTGCATTCCGCCTGCTGGAAGAACTTGTGACAGGCAGCTGTGAGCGCAGCCACAAACACGATGAACTCGTTGAAGTCCACCTGGGCGTCCCCGTTGGCATCCAGGTCCTTGAGCAGCTTGTCCACGGCATCTTTGTCCTTTCCATTCTAGCGGGGAGAAGGGCCCAGGGTCAGCACGGAGGGGTCAGCTCAGCCAAGCATCACTGCCGGGCAGGGGGAAGGCTCCGGCGCCTGTGCCACCTCTGCCGTCGTGTGGGCTCAGTGCCAGGGCCAGATATGTGGCGTCCCTGGCCTTAAGAAGCCGTGAGCAGCCGGGCTCGGTGGCTCAGCCTGTAATCCCACGCCTTGGGAGGCCGAGGTGAGTGGATTGCCTGAGCCCGCGGGTTCGAGACCACCCTGGGCAACATGGCAAGACCTTGTCTCTACAATAAATCAAAAAATTAACTAGGTGTGGTGGTGCACACCTGTAGTTCCGGCTACTTGGAAGGTTGAGGCGGAAGGATAGCTGGAGCCCAGCAGGTCGAGGTTACAGTGGCCGTGAGCGGTGAGCATGCCTCTGCACTCCAGCCCGGGCGACAGACTCAAACAACCACCAAATTAAATTGCACATAAATTAGGATTTCCTTCACATCAATGTTTGCATGGGGAAAAGGAAAAGACTGGAAGGAGGAGGGAGAGTCTATTCCAGGGAGATTCTTCCCTCCACCTCTTTGTGTGTGTGTGTGTGTGTGTGTGTGTGTGTGTGTGTGTGTGAGAAAGCAGTTTATTAAGACAGAAGAGCTCCCAAGCGAGAGGGGGCCCAAAACAGGGCTGCCCCCTCCACACTTCTGTATTTCTACACGTCCCACCACAAGCAGAAGTTTATTTTTTAAATTTATTTTGAGTTGGGGTCTCGCTCTGTTGCCCAGGCTGGAGTGCAGTAGCACAGTTGCAGTTCACTGCAACCTCAACCTCTTGGGCTCAGGCAATCCTTCCGCCTCTGCCTCCTGAGTAGCTGGGACTACAGGTGTGCACCCCATGCCTGGCTAAGTTCTTTATTGTTTTGTAGAGACAAGGTCTTGCTATGGTACCCAGATTGGTCTCGAAATCCTGGGCTCAAGCAATCCTCTGGCCTCGGCCTTCGCAGGTGCTGGGATTGCAAGCGTGAGCTGCTGTGCCTGGCAGATACTTATTCTCCAAAGATATCTTTATTCCATCCACAGTTAGAAAACAGAAGCAGTGTTCCCAAGTGCTCCGTTGTCGTGGAAGTGAGGCTTTGGGCTGAACATTTCAGGCTTTCATTTTCACTCATTAGCATTGGCCTAGCAGACCCTGCAGGCGGCAGGCAGGCAGAGTCTGGCCGGGCGGGAAGGAGGGGGAGGGGAAGAGGGGGGGAAAGAGGAGAGGGCTGAGCACAGGGGAAGGGACCAGAGGGCCGGAGGCAGGAGAGGAAGGCGAGGCCCAGAAGAGGGGCCTGTGCGGGTCTGCGGGAGGCGGCCTCGGGGGGAGAGCGCGGTCCTGGCCGGCCTCCGGGGACCTCCTCGCGAGGCCCCGGCTGTGGGTCCCGCCTGAGCGCCGGCTCTGGGCTGCAGGCGCTGAACGACCCTTTGTGACGTCCACGAATACCAGGCAACGGGGGACCTGGGCGTGGGAAGAAGCGTGGCAGGACGGGAATGTCTGTGGCCAGGAGCCTTGGAGAGGGCCGGCTCTGCGGCATGGCTAACTCGGCCTCAGGCTACTCCACCCTCACTCCCCACGCAGGTTCCAGGCCGACTCTCCCCCTAGGCGCCTGCAGGGGAAGAATCCTGGTCACAGACACGCTGGGGCTGGATCCACGCCTCAAGGCTCGGCCTGGCCACCCTCCCCGCTCAGGTGCGCCGGTGTCCCCCGCCTTGGGGTGGTGGGTCCATTCCTTGGCCGGGCATCCGGGTCTTTCGGGATCCGCCCCACTTGCCTCTGAGCGCTTCACTGCTGCTGGCTCCCACCCCAGCCGTCAGCCCTCTGCCCGCCGTGCTCGCCCTCCCTTCCTCCTCGCCCCTCCTGGCCGCGGCCAGCTGGCGCTCACCTGCAGGAAGCCCGGGAGCTCCTTCTCCATCAGCGCCTTCAGCTCTCCCTTGGTCAGGCTGTTCGAGTTGCTGTCGCCCTTGGAGTACCGGGCAAAGACGTCCACGATCATGGTCATGGCCATCTCCAGTTCCGTCATGGTGCCGGGTTAAACCTGCCTCCCTGCCGGGTTAGTGTGGCTCAGGAAATGTCCGGCTGGAGGCCTCTCCGTGGTTTATAAGGCCCTGCCTCATATTGACACAGAGGGTGGGACGTCCGGGTTGGAGCATTCAGCAAATCCTCCCCTCCCCACCCTGTGAGGCCCAGTTCTACAGTGCGTTGCTCTGACTTCCTTCTGGAATGTTTCCCCCAGCCAAGGGCCAGGGTGGGGCTGCCTCGGGGCATCCACTTTACCTACATCTCACAGGTAAAGCACCCGCATCTAACCTGTGCTGGCCTGTTTCTTGGGGTCGTCTTTGAGTCACAGCCGTGTCCTCATCTCTGACCCCAGGGTGAGCAGGGCCCCGGTGAGTGTGTGAAGGGAGTAGTGACAGAGCGGCCCTGTCCGTGTAGCTATCAGGGCGAACCAGCCCTTGGTGGGCGGACGTGAGGCAACGTCTGGGAGTGAATGAACGGCGGGTATGTGAGTGAACGCAGCTGTGGTCCTGTGGCTGCTTTTCAGAACACCCTGCCTCATTCAGAGGACCAGCTCCCCTCACAGGGCTTTGCTTCGCCTTTGAAGGTCCCTGAAAAGCCGCGGACGAAAGGCAGATCACTGGTGTCACTGAGAATTTCCATCTTAGCTTTTGGGAAATGGCTTTAAGCCTTTCTCTCTCTTAGGCTACACTTTAAAGATGTTTTTTCTTTCTCGTCTAATTGTGTACTTGCTTGAGGATTCCAGAGGCTGTTCCCAAGGCTGACTTTAAAACAAGCATATGGACACCCCACGGCAGACTTCTTCATTGTTTAGAGGTCACCTAGAGATGACTAATCTACATCCTGGTCACAGTTGGGACCACATCGGCCAACTCTCCAGGTAGACAACAGTTCAAGAAAGCCATCGAAGCGAGACCTGCCCCAGTGCTGCTGCCAGATACTCCTCATTCCATTCTTTCCCTTTATTTATTTATTTTTTTTGAGTTGGAGTCTCACTCTGTCGCCCACACTGGAGTGCAGTGGCCGCTCCCGGCCACCGCAACCTCGACCTGCTGGGCTCCAGCGATCCTTCTGCCTCATTCTTTCAAGTAGCTGGAACTACAGGCGCGCGCTACCATGCCTGGCTGATTTTTTGATTTATTGTAGAGATGAGGTCTTGCCAAGTTGCCCAGGCGGGTCTCGAACCCTCAGGCTCAGGCAATCCACTCACCTCAGCCTCCCAAAGGCGCGGGATGACAGGCTGAGCCACTGAGCCCGGCTTGGCCAAGTTCTAATGAATTGATTGCTGTACCTGCCTTCTGGAACCTTTCCCCCAGCCAAGGCCCAAGGTGCGGCCACCGCAGGGCACCACATCTTCCCTGCATCCTACAGGCAAAACACCTGCAACTTACCTGTGCTCACTTGTAGCATGGGGTCATCACTGAGACACGGTGATGTCCTCATCCCTGGCCCCTCTTGGGGTAAGCAGGGCCCCGGAGAAAGTGCTTCAGATTCTTTTTGGTCTCTCTGAGCGGCATTCCTTCCTTGGGGCATGGGGCAGGACCCTTCTGGGACGGGCATCTGATGACCTACAGACAAGGCCTGTCAGAGAATTGCTTTCTGGCAAGTTTCCACACAGGCCAGGTGGAGTGGGTGGAGTCAGATGTTTAGATGTCACGGCTGGCTCTGGGGAAAGGGAGCTCTAGCTTCTAGGACCTGCCCTGGGGAAGCCTCGGGGGAGAAAGAATGAGGAGCCAGAGACAGGAGGCAGGAGACCGTCAAAGAGAAACGTTTGCCTCTGAGGCCCTCACTTTGGGGTGTTGTTTTCTGAGGCCCAGCACTCCTCAAACCCACGGCAGCCACAGAGTTTAGACAGGGTGAAGGCTTCTGGGGCCTCGCAAAGGATTCTGGGGCCTATGCGTGGCGTCAGGAACTTGGGGTCTCATGCAAGTTCACACTCTTCCCCCCTTCACAGCGGGAGGGGGCACACGGAGGTGATTGTCGATGGGAAAGTTGGGGAGCCCCGGAAAGCTCGGAGGGCAGCAGCCTGAGTTCAAATCCTGCTCCAGCAAGTTCCCTGAACTCTCCCAATGCTGCCTTCACCCTACGGATGAGCTGTGGACCACCCTCCCCCCCCAGGGTTGTGACTGCGACACACAGAAGCTTTGGCATGTGACAGGAGCAGCTGGTCTCATGACAGCTGACTTTCTTTTTTTTTTTGAGTTGGAGTCTCACTCAGTCACCCAGACCACCGCAGTCTCGACCTGCCGGGCTCCGGCGATCCTTCTGCCTCAGCCTTCCGAGTAACCGGAATTACAGGCACGTGCTACCACGCCTGGCTAATTTTTTGATTTATTGTGGAGATGAGGTCTCGGTGCCCAGGCGGGTCTCGAACCCGCGGGCTCAAGCAGTCCACTCACCTCAGCCTCCCAAAGGCGCGGGATTACAGGCTGAGCCACCAGGCCCGGCTGACAGCCGACCTTCTTAGGACGCGTTGCCTTTGGCCAGGTGCCCACAATGGAGGACGCATCTCCCGTGAGTGGCCCCAGGATGGGGTCTGGAGGTTTCAGGAAACCACCAGGTGTGTGGCGAGGCAGGCAAGACACAGCCTGTCCTGAACACGCCTTGTCTAGGGGACAGATCTGGAGGGGACTCCTCTGGAGTCCGATGAGAAGAACGTCTATGCTCAGCAGACCAGACCGAAGGCCTCTCGTGCGTGGCCAAAACTGCATACTGCAGCACGTTGCTCTGAGTCGTCCAGGGCCTGTGTGGGGCAGCGGTCCCTGGTGGGTGAGACTCGGGCCCTGGGTGGGTGAACTCAGGCTGCTGCCCTCTGAGCTTTCCAGGGCTCCACAACTTTCCCATCGACAGTCACCTCCATGTGCCCCCTCCCACTGTGGAGGGGGGAGGAGCGCGAACTTGCATGAGACCCCAAGCTCCCGACTTCACGCAGAGGCCCCAGAATCCTTTGTGAGGCCCCAGAAGCCTTCACCCCGTCTAAACCCTGTGGCTGCTGTGGGTTTGAGAAGTGCTGGGCCTCAGTGTCCTGGAGCGTGAAGCGGTGTGTGGAGAGACAGAAGGCTTGGAGGAGCCCGTGCCAGGGGACGTGGGACAGCCAGGAGCAGAGGCACAAAGGACAGAGAGATTGGGATGGGCGGGTGGGGCCACAGGGGCGTGGACGCAGAAAGGTCCCACAGGCTGTGCACTCACACCTGACTGGAGGTCCAGGCCTCACGGCACCAGCCACACATCCGAACATCTGTGCAACTTAAAGAGCTCGCCCTCAGCCGGGCGTGGTGGTTCACGCCTGGAATCCCAGCACCGGGTGGCCAAGGGGAGAGGATTGCTTAAGCCCAAGAGTTTGAGACCAGTGTGGGCAGCATAGCGAGGCCTCTTCTCTATGAAAAATCAAGAAATTAATGGGATATGGTGACACGAGCTTGTAGTCCCGGCTACTCGGGTGACTGAGACTGAAGGGTTGCCTGAGCCCAGGAGGTTGAGGCCATGGGGAGCAGAGATTGTGCCACTGCACTCGGGCCTAGGTGACAGAGAGAGATTCTGACTCCAAAAAAAAAAAAGAACCAAAAAGCTCACTTTGGCTGGGCTGCAGCCTTGCAGAACTGCCCATTTCGGGTGGGCTGGGCACAGAGCTTCCGGGTGATTCTGGTGTGCGAGGTTGATGGTTCAGAGGGTTCTCAACCGGGAGATGCACGGTCAGATCTCCCTTCTGAGGGCAGCAGTTGGGGAGGGGGGCAGGAGAAGGCTGCAGGATGGGGAGCCCCTGGCCACTCCCAGCTCAGGGTGCCAGCAGCACCCGTCCCCAGGACCTCAGGAGCCGATGGGGGCCTCGGCAGAGGGCAGAGAAATGAGGCAACCTCCACACTTTGCAGAAGGGGAAACTGAGCCTCAGCGAGGATCTCGGCCAACAAGCCCAGGCTCCCTCATGCCTGCCCGTTGTTACTGCACTGCACAAACAGTTCCTGGGTCAGACTGGTTTTATCCTTGATAAGGTCTCAGACAAATATTTGATGAGGGAGGCGGTTGAGAGTGGACAAAATCAGTTTCCCAGGAACAAGCCGAGTGCCAGGGGTCATGTCTCAGGCGGCTGGAGGGCAGGGCAGAGTCTCACCCTGGGCACACAGCTCCTGGGGAGGGCGGAAGGGACGCCGAGACCCAGGAGTGGCCGTGTGTGGACCGCTTTCTCTTGGCTCGAAAGCTCAGCAATGCTGCCTCCCAGACTCCCTTGCAGCTAGGGGGCCACACCTCACAGTTCTGGGCAGACGCTTCATTGGGGACTAAGGAGGGTGGCCTCGCCGAACACGAAGCTGAGGCCTTCAGCCCTTCTGCCTCCTTCTCCTGAAACCTGGAGGCATCTCTGGGGAAGCAACAGCCACGCATGCGTGAGGCCCTGACAGATTCTTTTGTTTTTGAGTCGGAGTCTCACTCTGTTGCCCAGGCTGGAGTGCAGTGGCATGCTCATGTTTACTGCAGGCTTGACCGGCTGGGCTCAGGTGATTCTTCCACTTCAGCCTTCCAAGCAGCTGGGACTACAGATGCACACTTGCCACATCGGCTAATTTTTTTTTATTTATTGTAGAAACAAGGTCTCACCAATTTGCCCAGGCCGGTCTCCAACCACCGGGCTCAGGCAGTCCTCTCGCCTCCACCTCCCAAAGTGCTGGGATTATAGGCGTGAGTCACTGCACTCAGCCTCCTAACAGATCATTGAAGCACATGACTGAGTATATTCCCATCTGGTTGTGCTTATTTCTTAGGGATTGCTGTAACAAATCAGCCTGGGCAACATAACGAGAACTCATTTACAAAAAAAAAAA